TACGGCACGAGAAGTGCAAAAACGCATAATCGCACCGGTCCGCCTGGTGCGTTCCAGCCTGGGTTTTTTCTCCAACAGTAAATTGGTAGTAGCATATGCGAGATAGTCTAAATCATCGCCTGCAAAAGATGGAGTCATGGGCAGCTTAACAGTGAACATTTGCTGTTGGCAGTGTTCTTTGCTTCGGATAGTTGCGAATGTTCCTATCACTGTGAGGTGAGAGTAGGATGTGGAAGAGAGCAAGGAACGAATGGGCTAACTTTGACATTCTTAAACTTGCTGGAATTGTTTTTTTGTGTTTCCTTGTGTGTTTGCTTTCGTATATCTGTGTGTGTGTGTGTGTGTATGTATGTGTATGTCCGTGTCCGTATGTGTTTTCGACATTGGGCGAAGCTGTGCGATTATCGCGTTTGTTATCTGTTTGTTTTTCGGTTCAGCCATTTGCGAATCGCTCCTACTATGGTGGTGGTGATTCATGTTCATTCCCGAACGTCCTGTTGTTATTTTTGTTGATGGTACCTGCCTATTTTTTGCTAAAATGTTTTTCGGTAGTTTAATGGGTCTAGATCTGGTACATTTTAAACAAGTATTTTGTGTGATTTAACCAATTGTGGCCGGATGTTACCTCCTCCTTTCCCCGCTCGTATAAATTCAGTATTAATTTGATCGAAAATCACAAATGTGTATTAACTAAAAAGAGATGAAAATATTAGTAAAAGTAGTGATGAAATAGTGCAGGAAATTTTCCAACAAAATTTGAGGGTGGATTGGTTATAAGAGTAGCGACTGCAAATCTATGAAGGGGAGAGAGCATCGTTTTTTTTTTGTAAAAATTTTAACTGTAAATATGGATCGGAGTTCATGAAATTATAGCTGTAAATATAGATCGGAGTCCATGAAATCGTATACATTTCTTGCCATTACCACGCAATCAAGTTTTTTTTTTTTTGCAAATTCACCCCACCCTGCATCTTCGCTTGTTGTTATACGGTATTTAAGACTCTGTGACTGGAAAATGTAATTAAATGGATGTTATGCAGCCGCATATAGGAGAATAGAGAATGTGTACGGGATGACATGCCTAGCGATTTTGCGGTTGCTCATGGGCTTTGCCGATACTAAACTTAATGGTGGCGCGCTAATTTTTTCAGCCAAACGCATATTTGTTTTTTTAATATATATTATACTGTTCTTGCGTTTTTCCTGATCGCCTGTATTTTTTGTTTCTTTTCTTTCTTCGTTTGTTTGTTCCATCCGAATACATAGCACCATTATACGGCCTGATTCTTGTTTACCGGGCGTCGAAGGGAGGCAATAAAAATAGGAATAGAATGGCAGAGGAAGAGGAGGGGGAGAGGGTGGGGGAAGGAAGAAGGGGGAGGGGGAAAAGGAATATTAATTTAAGGTAAGGAAAAAATTAGATTGTAATACACAAACGAATTTAACAACTATTGAAATTGTTTTGTGATTAGCGCAGTAAATATGCCGTGTTAATAGATTTATCAAATTTCATCGGAACGTTAATTAAATCGTGCATAATAATTCGCAATAAAATTGCTGAA